CTGATGACAACCTTCCAAGCATTAAAACTTCGTTGGCGCGAAACAGAAGCTAGTCAAAGCCAGTTGCTCTCGTAATGCAGAACTTCTGTTAAGGATTATTGTCAATATCGAAAGCAATGGCTGAATCAGGTCCAGGTCCTTCAAGGGAGTCACCTAAAACTCCCGCAAAAGTTAAGTACAAGATGCAGTTTTGACTTTCATTTCGCAGACGTTGGCATTATTTAAAATACTCTAGTGGCCGACTTTGTAACTAATATCACCACTCCACCCGAATTCGTCAATCCATCGTTCAAGAAAAGTTGACCGAGTAATATGAATACTAGGCAAGTAGTTTTTTATGATGGTTGTTGTAGTGTTTTTTTTCCTTCTTTTTTGGGTGATTTATGTTTGAATGAAGTATTGCTTACTGCATATTTTTTGCAATTTAACTGAATTATTTGCATGTACTCTGTATCAGATTTTAATGCGTTTTGAAAAAAATTAGAAATATTTCAAGAACAGTTCACAGAATGTTTTTTTTGTCCTTTACAAGCAGACACTGCCTTGAATTGCCAGACCTTGCCACATTGCTTGAAAAAAAATTCTTTCTGAATGTGCTGACATTAATTGTCAATCAAACAGTATCTAAAAACTAAACTGGGGCTTTGTTTAAATCATAAGAAGAAAATATGTACACCTTAAGCAGGTTTTGACACAAGATGAAAGAAACAGATAAGGAAGTGTTTAAGGAAGATTTAAAATAAATTCTACCGCAGCAATCACAGGAATATTTACTGATAAGTGCTTTAAGAACAACCTATCTTAACTGACACTTCCTCTGCTGTCAGACAATTTCTTTTGTGAGAATTCTTAGGACATAAATTAGTATTTCATAATATGAATACTGTGGCAATTGTTTAAATTGTACATCATAACATGTTATGGAGAAATGAATATTGTAGTTATATTTCAGAACTAATTTGCAACATAATTACTGTTTTCTTATATATCACAAAATTCAAGTGCAATGTTTATATACTATAATTTGTGAAAATGTTTTCTGGTCCAATGAATTTACCAAAGCAAAAGTATTCTTAAAGGTCATTTGAAAAATTGAAACATAATATGATTAAGGATGTTCTATTAAGTCAACATTTTATTTTGTTCATAAGTTATTTTTGTGGGTAAAAACTGTTCTTTGTGTATGGGACAAAAAGTTGATTGTCTAGATCCACCTTAAAATTAAAGATATGTATTGCGTAAATGACCAGTCTTCAGGTACAACATAACACAAACTTTCATAGTTTAGCAGATTCTGCACATGATAAAGTTCATTCATATTTTTTAAATTTACCCACAGCCTCTCAAAGTGCTTAACCTAATATATCATAATAATTATCAAAAATATAATGGCACAAAATATAAATAAATACTGTATCAAAATTTACATTTTCTTTTAAATTTCAAATAACAACAAATCACAGAATGAAAGCATGGTCCATTTAAAAATAAAGATATGTCATTTTTGTTGTAAATACTTAGAATAGAATATTAAACAGCTATCAAATAACATACTAATAACATGCAGGACTAGTTAGCTGCTCATGCTGACTTTTTCTAGCAGTATTTGATTGTAGCATGCCTGTAAACAAAAGGCAGTTGATCATTAACTTCTTTTACCCACATTCACTGGCAAAGTAGCTACAAAATGTAAAAGTAAAGCATATACTGATAACAGGATAACTCACCTTTAGAGTAGTGAACATGATACCCAGTTCACCATTTTGAAAGTAAGGTTCCATGAAATCTTCAATAAAATGTATTTCTGATCCCAACTGAAGAATCTGAGAACGAACTATTACAAAAAGAAAGACTGGAATTAAGTCATCCATTGACCATAAATAGTCTGTTCCCAGAACCAATTGCACAGCCTGCAGGAATAGAGGAAAAAAGTGTTACAAAATATACTCTGAAACGCTATTATTTTTCTTACTATTTCTCACTTACTCTAGTCATTTGTTCAAGTGTACTCCTGATAACTAGCAGTTTTTCCATGGGAGAAAATGTAGTCTTCAACTGTTGTAGTGTTTCCACAGCATCGTGAAACATTTGCTCATGAAGAGGAGAAAGTGCACGCAATGATTCAACACATCCTACATTCTTTGGACTTGAATACTTAATCCAGAATTTCCTGGAACAAAACCATGGAATAAAGAAATTTACTGAATTTCAAATACGATATCCTACAAAGATCTAACAAATGTTTCATACGCTCAATGAAAATACTTAAGTCTAACCATTAATCTGAAAATATCCTCAACAAAAACTGAAAGGTTTTTTCTCTGGTATTCGCTCAATATAAATCTAAATAGTTCTAAATACATGCCAATAGAATTTCCAGTATTTAGGTTGTCACAAATACTATAAACTTTTATATTACGAAACAATCTAAACAAAGATTTGGGAATACTTGATCTAAGTTCTGTATCTAAATAAACATGGGTTTTAATTAATTATTACATTTAAAAATCATCAATTTTTAATCATTTAACTATTATGTTAAACACAGGTGTCACTTACTGATCAACGCCTAAAAACGCCATAAGTGTAGAGTCCGGCTGTTTGTTCCACTTCAGCAGTCTCTTCCAATATGCATCATCTTCTTGCTTGTGGTGTAGAGCGTAAAGAACAAACAAGGCTGAGTGAACTCTAGGGAGCAGCACTGGATGCAGTAAGGCAGCAGCACTCACATATTCACAGTTTGAAAGAACCAAACCTCTGAAATAAGAGAAATGGAGGATTATCTAAACTTTTATGTTTCTAAACAAAAATATGTATTTCTTCCAGTAACACAGCTGATTTTCCAACAAATATGAAATTTAAAAAAAAGGTCATGAAAAAAGAAATCCGACATTTAGTTACAAACCATTTACATGTTTTGCATGAATACTAGTACAGAATATTCCTTTTAGTTCAAGTAATGTTTCAAGAGAGTTTTTAGTGATAGTGATTCAAAATCAATATTTATGGCTTAAAGTTAATCTTCCTCTCTTTCTCAGTCATCTTCTTCCTGTCTGTCATCTCCTTGTCCTTCTTCTTCTTCACATGACTTTCTCTATCACTTTATTGACATTGATGTGACATGATAACTACCAGGGGTCGTTGCAACATGGAGCATGTAAAGGTGAAAGTCAAGTGGATTGCATCAATCATGGGGTACAACAATTCAATGTGCTCAGCAAAATTTATTATTCCGATTTGTAGCCTTCTTTTAAGACAACCAATGATTAAAACATGAGTAAATTAACATTGTGGTATTTATTGCTCATTAAAAGAACATTCGTAAAATTAGAAATTTCAGAAGTAATATTTACTCTCATTGTGAGGTCTTTGTAGGACAAAATATCGGGTGTTTATTTGATCGTTAGCCGAAGATTCCGGCCGCGTCATCCCGAGAGGCGAGGGCTCGCTCGCCCAGTGAATAACAGACTCAACTCTCATGCTGACATACGGGAGCTATCGCTGTGTCTAACTTGTCTCAAAGATGATGCTGAAAGTGGTATCCTATGGCTCCAAAGCATTCTTGGCACCTATGGAACATATTCTGATTTACCTTTGAAGTAAGTCTCGAGGAATTACTGGGATTTTCTCTTCAAGAGAGCGCCGGAGCTCCGAATGCGGGTTTTCTGCAAAACACCTGATCTTTCAGGTACTCCCAAAGGAAAAGTCACAAGGGGGGTAAGATCAGGTGACCTAGGAGACCATAACCCACGACGAATTATTTAATCGTCACTATAAACAGTATTTAAAAAGTTCATGGATTGATCAGCAGCGCCAACAGTTGCCGAATCCTGTTGAAAGTAACAACAGAGCCTTTATTGTGGTATCAATTGTTTGAAGAATGCCAATAAAAGATTTATTTGAGCATCAACAATAACAGTGGGGTTGCAAACAAGGTCCTTGTTATTTTTTGTGGAACTCAACACACACTACTCTTCGTGAAGCAGGTATGGGTTTTCTGCACTCCAATAGAGATTGTTTTTTGTTGTATTCACTCAGATGTAACCATGCTTCATCAGAAAAGATAATCAAAATATGTTCCGTAGGTGTCAAGAATGCATTCGTGCCGAAGGACATCACTTTTAGCATCTTCTTTAATGTAAGATAAGAGCAGCAGTAGTTCCCGTGTGTCAGCACAGGAGTTGGGTCAGCATTTCACGCGGTGACGTCGCCATTCCCAGCTGTTACGTTCACTGTTCATAGCTGTTACGTTAAGATTAAAATTTCAGATAAATGAAGAATAAATTTAAAAAAATAATACAAAATACTAAATGCATACTATCTTCATACTATGTATAAATGTACACAAACCTACTCACATTTAATATATATCTATAATATACATTCATCTTACAATTAATATATATTTAATACATATGTATATTTACCTCAAAATTAGCAAGCCGTTAATTTTCAATAAGTCTGACGGGAATTTTTAAACTGTTTAACCAATTCTAATTATTTTATCCACATAAAATTGCATGTTGTCTAATTGACCAGAAAACTGTCTTGTTGATGAGAACATTAAAAATTTATTGTGCAAGCTATCACTGTTTTCTTGTTCCTTAAAATCATGATAATGGTTTTTATCACAATCTTCTTTCTTTGTCAAATGTATTATTGTTTCTTTCTTTTTTGTGCTCCTTCCATATCTGTGTAGTCCTCTGACATTTCAGGCTCCTTTAATAGTTATGCTCATTGAATTTGTGTTCTTAGTCTTTCATCTGATTCCCTTCACAGGCATTAGATTTTCGTTCTGCACCCTCTCGTTCATCGTCTCTTATTCTGTAACAGTTCTTTCTAATTCTTTAAGTGAATATACATCTTTTAATGTTGGTGTGATCAAATGGTGAACAGCGAACGCGTACATTTATGAGTTTCATTACATGGAAAGGCAATGTAAAAACAAATTGTGACTGTTTAGGTTCAATCTGTGAATATGGGAAAACTCCAAACTTTTTGAATGAGATAATTAGAAAAAAAAACATGTCTTCCTTATATTTCAGTACATATATTTATATACCAGACTGCTGGTAAATATACTTAATAAATAAATAATTATTTCCCAATAACTGGATTTTCACTTTTGAGAGATTATTTTGGTGATGTTGATCATTTGAAAGCTTTATTGCATAATCCATGAGATAATAAATAATTCCAATTATTTGAGATATAGTGTTATTAGAAAGAAAATTCAAAGTCATGTCTGTATAAGTTTGTTTCCGATACCAGTTCAGTTTGTATTTGGGTATTGTCCTGCTCTTTCTTATTGATAAAATTTATATATAAAAAAAAAACAAAAAAACAACAAACTTTGTTTTCTTCTATTTATGTAAATTATATGTTTTGATTAAAATTATTGAAATGCTAAAGAATATGATTAGTCCGTAAAGATAGTATTATTAAAAAAGTATTATCCACAATTTTGTCTGTAAAAGTAAAATCTATTTTATTAAATAAGGTTATTTCTAAATGTTGAGGAACAACTTCGCTTAACAGATTACTAGGGGATCTTCTGAAAAAGAGTTCCATATAATTGTTTATACATTTTATTTTTGAATTTGAAAGTTGCATTACCTGACTGCTATCACTATTTCTTGTTTTGATATTTTTAAAATACTGAAAACATGGAGGGAATACAATTTGAAGTGTCCAAAAAAATTTATTAAAATGATTTGTAGTTTGACTGTTCTCTTGTATGTTTTATCATTTGTAAGTTTGTTAGTTTGATTTAGGGCATGAAAATGTAACACCTTTTTTTTTAAACAATTCCTCGTTGAAAATGCATAAAATATACAAAGTTTTGTAATATGTAATTTCAAGCAATAAATAAAAATGTAACGAAGTAAACAATTTCAGAACAGTTTCAGAAAAATATTTTAGCTGGTAATTGAAAAAACTGTAAAAGTTGCCAACTAATAAAAAAAAGTAAATATTTATTTCAATTTTTTGAAACCAATATTAGTTTGTTCTAGAATCATTTACCTTTTTTCATCCCCATCTTCATCATCTTCAAGCTTTAATCCTTGCCCCAGTTCAGGCAATGAAGGGAAAAGCAAGCGCACTACTTCATACATTCGTCCTGTAATGGAGCAGAGCTCTTCCACAGCATGGTTAAGCAGTAACGGATGCACTCGCACACCTCCATAAGTGGCTGTGTAAGCCTGTGATACTTCTGCAAGGAGCATTCCCAAAGGATGGTGTACACATTCAAAGGCCTGGAACACAACATGTTACTTAATTATTTAATGCCTTATTTTACACAGCCTGACTTGAGATATCAGGCCTACTCTTCCATCTGACCACATAAATTTCGCTACGCTCCTTTCAGCATCTAGCGGAGAAAGATAGTATCTCTCAGAGGATAAAACAGGGGATTTGAATTTAGATCAGAGGCTTCTTTTAGGCTTGAGGATATTTTGCATGCAGTAAATCTACTACACAGGACACCTGGCCTTACTACCCCTCTGAAGGATTTTTTCGCCCTTAAAAATCTATTGCTTTGATCAGGCAACCTGCAAAGTTTGATACAACAGTCCAATATGCTAACCATTTGACATGTCATTTGAAATTTCCTAAGTGCATTTATGCTTAGGTTCCATTCTTTACTTATTCTTTCTTCCAGCATTTCATAATATTGAATTTCCTTGTAACAATTATTCTCTAAATAATTTGATTACATCACTAAGAACAAACTTTTAACTTATTATAAATTGCAGTATTTCCGAGTTTATTTCATTTGTCAGAAAATTGCCCAATACAATTTGTTAGAAACATGAAATTTTATCATAATTTTCAAACTTATTTTATGCGCTTCAGTACATTTTCAACTCACAATTGTCATAAATCAATTACAACCATAAATTGAACTAAAAATCAATGTAATAAAAACAAATGTAAAACAAAAAAACAAGGAAAGACAGAAAAACAAGTAAAAAGTTTTGATACTCGTATTATTTTTGATTTGATTTATTTTTATTATAGCAGCAGCAACAAGAAAATATACATTACGAAGTCACAGAAATAGTAATGTTATCATGACGATAACTTTAAAAAACGATCTTTAAACCTATTCACAGACCTATATCAAATTACTGGCATTTCCTCAAAACATCCATTTCACTTCATCTTATAATGTCTTGAGGGCACAAAAATTACACCATTTGAATAAATTGACTCAAAATTGAACAAAAGATCACTTTTAATATATTTTAAAACAATCTTGCAGTTACCTTCGAAGAGATATACTATATTTGAAGAGTAACAAGTTCACTTAATTGTTGGTTATTAAAAAATGAGATAAACATTGTAATAATTGTGACCTGGTTGTAGGCATTGAAACTAATTAAGAGTAACAAGGAGAAACAATGTAGTTGTTTATAATTTCACTAAAAATATCTGAAAATAGTTAATATATATTCAAGCCAATAATTTGGTTATTTAACTGGTAAACATTGAAAATTATTATAGCAATTTAATTTTTTGATAGTATTTCTTCATTTCCCCCTGAATTTTGCTGTGAAGAAGAGAAGAAATGATTTTCTTTCTAAGTATTGTGTAACAATGTGTGAAGTTCATGTTTTCTTAAGACATCTGGAAAATGAAACTTCACCATGAACAAAAGACTTTTTTGCACTAAGTTGGCAAACAAAGATGGTGCTTTGGTTTGATAGACATGAGGAAGAGGCAAAACAATTGACTTTAAACAGAAGAATTTTTGTATCATCACAGAAAAAATTTGTTTTTATTTAGTGAGCAATATGTTAGTGACTTTTCCAGTCCTATTTTGATTTTTTAGTGTCTTAATATCCAATAATAATTATTGTTATAATTATAATAATTATTACACAATAATTATGATCATGATTAAAATTATTATAACCATTTGTTTATGAAACATGTACTAATATAGACACAAACCTTGCCCAAATATTTACGTAGTTCTTTGTAGGTCTCTTTTGTCAATTTCTCACTGGCAAACTGAGGAATAGTGTCCAGTGAATCATTTGTTGACTCCTCATTGATTAAACCTGAACGAGAGCGACGTAAGGCTTCTTGCCGAGAACTTGTAATGAGAACAGCCACATTCTCCCAAATCTTTTGCAAATCAACATTTGGTCGGGGTGAGCCAGTACCAGTCTTGGCTGCTACTGTCTCTGAAATTCCTGTCACACCTAGCTGTGCGTAGCACTGACGGAAAATTGCCTTCCATTTTTGATGGGCAGCTACACACAATTTTCCAAATGACCTGAATCATACAAAACAAAATTATTCACTGATAAATTCAAGGAGAAACATTTATAATTTAAAAACTATTTGGCAGGATAGCCTTGAGTTTCCTTTCTCCACATCATCATCTGATAAATCAACCATCATTTTCACAATGTAATTTTAGTGTATTAACAGGTTGAAAGATACAAAATAATTTTCTGAAACAGAGATTACACAAATTAAGTCTTAGAAGTATAGTCTATGGGAGTACAGCTTAACAGTTTTTCTAGCTACATTGTCCACCAGTCCACTCTCATCTGAAAAAGAACTGTACAAACAGTTTCTCACTGTATTTCCAAAAATGGTAATGACTGATTGAACACAGACAGACACACACACACACACACTGAATCTAAATGAATAAAACAAACTTTTACACAAAAATAAAAAGTACAATTATCAAGTTAAGTTTTGAAATTTGATTTGGTTGTTGATCTTCATATCTTTCCATCACAGATGTTCAAATTGAATATTTGCCTTCCTGACAATGCTTTACAACTCAGCTCTAACTTGTGTTAAAAAGTGAACTACATGTTTTAGTCCCTGACAATTTCTCATTTAAAAAGTTCAGGATATGAAATGCATGGCAGTCATCAGTCCATCAGCTCTTCATCATCAAGCTAAAAGCTTTTTAATTTGAAGTCAACAGAACATGACAGAACACACACAGTGGAAATTGTGGGACAGAGCAAAGGTGTGGGGAGTGAGGCAGGGTTATTAAATATATTGTTTCCATTTTACACTATAGAATTTATTGCTTTTCTTATCTTATAAATGACTGTAAATAATAAATGCCTGGCTAATAAAGGTTTCTTCCTCTAGTAATCTTATAAACCTGCAATTTTGAATAACAATTTAAAGTAAAGGGAGGCTAGCAATTTAAGCTAATTAGGGACACATTTCACATGAATAAATAGAAGAATAAAGAGAATAATCTATCCAGTATGTACTGTCAACACACAAACTCAGTTCAAATCCCAATTTAGGCCATCTTTTGTTCTTAAGGCATAAAAAAGTTGGAAAATCATTTAATGAAATCTCTCAAGCTGAAACAAGACGTGTTAAAACATAAATTGAAGTTTTCTGATGAAACATATTTTTCAGTCACAGAATTATTAAATGACTTCCAGATTAGTACCTGCAAACTTGAAAATAACCCTTTTCAGAATCCTCAGCTCTCAATTTTTTGGATTCCCTTCAAAATCTTAGGGGATTCTTTTCACATCAATTTACTTACTGGGGTTTTGACTCCTGGTCTGATGTTATTTTGTGAAGGGTGCCAGTCACTTTCACACCTTCATTCCATGCTCCATAGAGGGTTCCTTCCAAGCGATCTCCACTATTAAATGTCAATGTTCCTTTGCCACTGAAGACTCCAACTGAACGAAATTCCCCTTCGTAATGGGTGCCATCCTCAAATACCATAACACCATGACCCTACATAGGGAAAGAGCTAATTAGATTAATAGTCTTTAAAGACAATTGAAGAGCTTATTTCCAAGTGACATATTTCTACTTCTGTTTGTTTTCTAGTTTTACATTTCAATATATTCTTAAGATGCTTCTTTATCATGCTGTAATGTATTGTGTTCAAAAATAGTGTTTCTCCCAAGCCAAGCAGTATTCAATATATAGTCCGATATTAAACTAAAAGGCTCAATGTAGTTACTTTCCCTCCTGAAAAATTGTGTTTTATGGAGATACTTCACTTAGGAAATAATTTTGTCACTTGAGGCTTTGAATTATCACCTCGAGTTCAGTTTTCTTGTGTAAAGTTCTATTCACTATAATGAAAGATTTCCCATCCATCAGTGTCAAATAGAAAGGTAAAATTGAAAGAAATAAGAAAAATTAGGGTAGGGCGGAAAAAGTCTTTTTTACTTCCATCAGTTCTTCATGTCACATAAACAAAATTTGTAAAGAAACAGGCTTACAGTAAGAACATCTTGCATGAAAACTCCTTCATAATAAATGCCATCTAAAGTCACAATAAGTCCACATCCATGTTTCATGTTGTTGCTCCAACACCCTAAATATTTCTCTCCTGGAAGAAATTTTAGAAGTTTTGTTTATATTCCACTTTCTTTTTCCATTTAACAGTTATCTACCTTACATATTTTCTCAACTTCAGCAAATGTTGTTTACCTGTCACAATGTCATCCATTACACCATAGCCTTGCTTAACACCTGCAACCCATTCACCAATATACACAGATGCGACAGAAGCCATAAAGTGGCCTTGCTTGCGAACACCGTGACCATGGGGTTGGCCATCTTTGAAGTACCCCTCATAAATGTCACCTCCAGCATACCTGGATTATTTGAACAATTGATGGCATATGGTTTGGTCATTTTGAAGGTATTTCAATTTGAAACAAGTAATTTTATTTACAAGTTGGATGGAAGAATAGCTTTACTCTGAAAATGTAGTTTTGAGAAAAATCAGTTTGAAGAATAGCTTTACTCTAAAAATGTAGTTTTGAGAAAAATCAGTTTGAAGTGTTTGTATGTGATATTACCATATTTTCTTCATTGGTAGATAATCTGACACTCAGGACATTTATTTTGTTAATTTCACTAGAACATGCTGCAAGAACACCAGTTACCAGAATAAGTTTCATCCTAGCCCTTATTACAATTTATTCAAGAACAAAATTATCATTACAACATAAGCAACACAAGAAAATTTAACATAAAATTCTTAACGTAACAATAATAAAATATAAAGATGATTGAGATATTGAATATAACCAGCCCCACAAATTGGCAGGGGAGCAACTCACACCAAACCTTACAAGCAGTTCAGAAGAACAATGGACTCTATTCTGTTCTTCTATCCAACTCTTTAATTATATATTTTATCTAATTAGTTTCTTGGTTATTGTTTATTGTCTGACTCAATATTAACAGCAGTTACCATTCCCATTGTTTTAAAAAATGAAACTCACTTAATAAACCCAAGGCCATTTTGTTGCCCTTCCTTCCATTGGCCTTCGTAGGTGCTGATGCCAGGTGTTTCTAAGCATCCATAACCATGCATCATGTTGTTTTGAAATTGACCAATGTATACTTTGCCATCCGGCCACAGCATCTTGCCTGCACCTTGCAACTTTCCAGAGCACCATCTGCCTGTTCACAAAGGCACACACACAGGGTTCAAGGCAATACAGCACATCCAAGAACTGTAATTCCAATTCAATAATTCCTCATCAGTCAACTATTCATATTTCAAATACTTTCAACAACAAATATAAACAATTATGTACATCTGCCAGTTAGTCATTATTCTGTTTCAACATCATCTATTTTCAATTTGAACTTCCGCAAATGAAAACTAGCTATCAGACAGTATATTTTAGAGCAAATTTTTATATTCAACAATGCTTACACATGTTGATAATATATAAATGAAGATAAAGATTATTTTTACTAGCAGGCAAAGTAACCATATTTTCCAAATTGAATTTTAGGATTAATGTAGCTCAAGTGTTATAAAAATGTTTTGCAAATTTACACTGACACTGAAATAACAAAAACACTCGTGACCATCAAAGTGTTCCAACCAAAATATTATTCATACCAATATATTTAGCATCCTTATAGAGGAGATGCTTTGTAAATGTGTAAGTAGCAGTGCGAATAACAGGAGGTTGATGACCAAAAGATTTTTGGAGGCTCTTCTTTATATAATTTTGCAGGCAATGTATCCACTCCTTTTTGTCATTTGCTGTTGGTGTGTGTAAAGTAAGAGATTCTTCTGGCATAGTAAGAGTAAGTGCATTCTGTAGAAAAAAAAATTGTGTCAATTTAAGAATAAATTACCTAGCAAAATTATGATATTTTGGATTTTTTTTCTGTCCTTACTATTAATATGCGCACTAAGTAAATATTTTCTCTACAGAGAATTCAATAATTACATTTATAAATACCTTTACCGCCAAATGAAATGGTCATACAGTGGCTATCAATTTTTGGCCTAACATAAATCTAGAACTGGTTTTCTTTTCCAACATCTTTAAAATACTTTTTTACTAGCTCACCTATTGTAATTTAAGTCAGTAAAGAATGCAAATCATACAATAAAAAAATAATTTAACTTTTCTTGGCACTGAAACACATCATCCACACTTACCTGCATTGTGTCTGTATCTTGTAATGGCTCCACCCACACTGTACTGAGAGGGTGAGTCGTGCACGAACTACCAACAACATGGACCAGCACATCTGATAATAATACCAGCCAATGAGAAGAAAACCGTCCTGAACTGTACACAGAAATTGGATATGTTCTTGATTCACGAATGAGTCGTCTATTTGGGGCTCGTAACAATTCCATCAATCGTCCAGAGCTCTCCCAAAATTGTCGGGTTGTCTCGGCTTCCCTCTTTCTTTTTTCTTGTTCATCGTAGATCAGTTCCCATTTTGCTAGAGCATCGTGAAGCTTCTTTTGCACTATCTGCTTTGAAGTTTGGCTTTGGTCTGAATTAGCATTGCTTCTCAGCAAAGACTGAATCATGAACTTGTACACGCTTAGACGAGTGAGAGGACTAGACAATGCAAGAGATACTATTACTTCATGGCTTTTCCGATTCTTTTTAACATGGCATCTTTCAGAGAAAAAAGTCACTAGTTTAGGAGAAATGTCAACAAGTTTGGCTATCTGCATAAAACCACTAATAGATATGACATCACAAAGAACATTTAAATAATTTCTATACACTTTAACATGTTCATCTACATGAAGTACCATTGTAACATTACTTGCTTCAGTCCCATGTTCTACACATTCCCATAATGACATGACGTTCAGGGCTGTGAGTCCAAGCAGATCATTGTAGCATGTACATAAACTTTCATACACAGTATTTTCCTGAGTCACACCTCCTTTTTTCTGGACGGGCTTGATGAGGGCACTTTGCACAAAGAGCGCTTCTTCAAGAAAAGACTGCTCCGTTGACAAGTCTTGTACCACAGGAGAGACAGGTTTCTGCCGCAATGTACACCCACTGATGGATTTAGAGGCAAACACTTGATACTGCGGCACCTTTCCTCCTTCCAAAGTGGGAATTTCAAGAAGAACAGAAACTCCTGTGGGCTCACTGATAAAAAGAAAAAAAGGTTGTAATTCACAGGTATGTTAGCAAGCATTGTATTATTAAGTTTCTGAAACATTGTTACACTGTATTGACTAGTTAATAAATCAAGTAGAGGAACAAAAAGCCAATCTTGACACTCTGTATCCGTTACAGATTTTACAGTCCACCATCCATTAAAAACAATAGAATCAAATGAGTTGTAGCTAATGAGAAAAATAAGTACTCCCACAATACGATTCATTTTCCTGGTGCACTTGTGCTCACTTGCTCCAAAACAGGCTTCAGCGCAACTTTGAAGGAATGTGATGATTGCAAAGGTATCGTGTTATTCTCCTTCATCATTGTGAACATCCAGTAGTCACAGCACATCGAGCTAAATTGAGCTGCAATCTGTCTGGACAGCTCGAAAATTCTACCCATACTACCATAGTCAATGTGTGGCAACAACTATTTCTCGAGAAAAACAAGTGCATGAAAATAATTATCCATTCAATGAATTTAGAGGAGAGAGAGAGACAGAGAGAGAGATTGACAGAGAGAGAGTGACAGAGAGAGACAGTGACAGAGAGAGAGTGACAGAGAGAGAGTGACAGAGAGAGAGAGTGAGAGAGAGAGAGAGTGACAGAGAGAGAGAGAGAGTGACGGAGAGAGAGGGGTTGGGTCAAAGGGCATAGTTACCCCGCGCGCTGCTTGCCCATGTAGAGAAGCGCGCCCTCGCCGCCGTGCAGTAGCGTGTGCGCGCCGCCTGCCGCCACGTCCCGCGCGCGCTGCCCGCCAACGCTCACCGCCTGAGGAGAGCTCTGGTCGCTCGCCTCGCCGCACACCTGCGACACACGTTCCACACATGCTCTCCGCTGCCAGCCAAATAAGAGGGTCCGGGCGCGTTAAGAAAGGATCGTTTATCCCCGAGGACGGTGCTACTTCCCCGCTGCAACATGAATACGCCGTCGACCTACAAGTCAACTTCGAGCTTTCCCCCGCCAAGTATCTCCCACCAGCGTCGCAGCTGGGACAAGCCCTGAGCTCACGACCGGTCTCCAGGGATGTGTGGTGTTTGTGCAGCTCGTGTTAGTTTAAGTGTAAGGGGAAAGGATAGAACAAGGAAAAGGTAGGAAATATCGCGGTCCGTGGCCGTTTGTTAGGGTACTGCTCCGACGTTCGCCTGGTGTTGATCGACGAAACCACAGAAAATTACCGATCAGTGCAAATGACAGCTAAAATTCTTCTCCAGAAAGCGACTGAATTCGACCTACAGTACCGGCAGGGTATAAATGACTGACAGTTCGATGTGCTATTGCCACACATTACTACGCTCATAGCACCATCTACACACCTGATAAATTAAATCTCAAAACATTAACACTTACGACAGGCAATAACACGTCTTGATTTCATGTTCATAACCTTCGCCACAGCCGAATCTCATGGCTTTCGTGACTTCGTGCGTTTCAGATGAGCGGCAACGTTGAACATTGGTTGTGAGAAAGTGAACAAATCCTCGCAAGCTGCTTCAGAAGTCACCTGACATACCGCTACACGAGGCGAGAGGACTATCAGAGTCGCTTACACGCTGCCGGTACTGTAGCTATCTGGCTAGTGTTGAAAATCCTGCCACTGCCCGGAGTGCAACCTTCTACCACACCAGGCCACTGCAGTGACATCAGTTTATGCTCTGAGCCACTCTCCCTTGGAACACTGCGTAGATCCCCAATCGGTCTCCTCACTGCCTTCGCCTTGGAGCTATCGACGTGAATACCACCGGAACCAGGCAACCTCACAGGACGGGTCACGGTCCTCGTCTGGACTTTTATATGCGGGATCTGGATCATTCCGAAGACGTCTTTTGCCCAAAGGTCGGTGAGCTAGATGCCCAACTGGTGGGTTACCCGGGCGAACCTGGGAATATGGAGCTTGGCATCACCTATTCACTCCCTGCAACTTCAAGCTACCGACGTGGATGCCGCCGTGAAAGTCAAGGTCCGGGTGGCCGTTAGCAAGTCTCCACCACAAACCACGATCGCCTCGACGGTCTAAGGGGCCCTAGGTCCTCGTGTGGAAACTGCGCTTTGGTCGGGAGAGCTGCAACGCACCTGTCGCGAGTTTGGTATGTGGCACTAGCTTTTCTCCTCCTGCCAGCGGAGCTCCGCCCCAGCCGGGACAAGTTCTAAGCTCCCGACCGGACTTTCCGGCATGTGTGATAGTGTAGTGCATGCAAGTGCAAATGAGAGTGAGGGGTGAGGAAAGGGCAGCGAAGAGAAAGAAAAGATCTCGCGCGGTCCATGGCCCATTTGTTACGGTATTGCTCCGACAATCCACGAGAGAAACCACGGAGGACTGCCGATGAGAGCAGCCGGTCGCTAGAATTCTCCTCCACATAGCGGTCGACTTCGGACCATGATTCGCTTTGATTGAGAGTATATCGAAGACAGGACTGACACTTGTGCGTGGGGCGGACGCACCTGCCGCGAAGCGTTAGCGCCCCAGGCGAAGGCGCGGCCGTCAGCGATTCAGAGGCGCGGCGGGCGCCGTCGCCACGGCGCGCCACGCGTCGCACGGCCCGTGGGCCGGCCAGCCCGTCGCCACCATACGTGGGCGTGGGCGGCTGTCACGGGCGTCGCCGTGCCCGCTAGCTGTGCCGTGCGCCACGCCGACCCAGGGACGGCCCTCACAGCTCCCGGCCAGCAGCGACCGGAGCGGGCTTCGTCACGGGCGACGCTGACCAGCCGGACCGCCACGGCCCTCCGCCTCAGGGCCGCCGCCGCCGGCCACGCCCACGCGCGCCTCCGCGACGCCGCGCACTCATCTGCCGACGCACTCATGACTGGCCCGTGGAGGCTGCCGCCCCACGACCCTCATGTCGGTGCTCTTGGCACAGCAAGCCAAACTGCAATACAAGGGATATTGACACATGAATTCAGGTTCCGCGTTCACAGAATGTAAGGAAGTTTAATGAAATGTTGCGCAGGGTAAAAGACGAGGTTCGGGCCGATACTTAGAAATGTATAAATTTAGCGAGTACTTCTATGTTAAAGTAAATAAGACCTGCCTAACACGTTGTCGTTAGGGCGAATGTGGCATATTGGTCTTGTAGGCGTCAGCGTAATACGCTAAAAATGCAGTGGGGGGGACGAGGATGAGAGGGAGGGAGGAAGGATGCGCCAGAGACGTTGTTGCAGTCCATCCTGTGGGAACAACGCAGCTAGCGACTAAATGTCTTCAGGAACATTATGTTTGCAGGAAAAATTGATAATGTCCTACGCCAGATTCATTGATCTGTCTCCATCGATCGCGTCTCTAAAATTTAAAAACTTATATATTAATTTAAGGGCGGTGTACTACACAAAAAAAATGTTGATCAATTGCAATTGCAAAATCACAAAGGCGCATTTGCAATCAATTGCAAAATCAAAATTGCAATTGCTTCTTCCTATACAACTACAATTATGAACATAGAGAATGTTTTCCTTACTGACCTTACCCTATTTGACCAGTAGCGTGTGATGTGTAATACACTGTAATAGAGAAACATTGCCGCGTCCGCTAGTCAAGTATAAAACAATTTAGATGACTTGCATCGGGATTAGAGTAAAGGATCTATCGACCCCGGTTTGTTCGTTCGCACGGGCTTTTGCCAGCCCACGTTGTGAGAGTACTTTGTGCCGACTGCTTTGCCCAAGCCCGGTCACAACCTGGAGGTGTTTCAAGCTGGAACGACCATGTCAGCACACCCGAATAAAAACGGTCAAATAATTTATTGCTAATTAATTACAATTTAAAATTAATTGCCACGTATTTAGGTTGAGAAAGCGGGGGTGAGCTGGTTTTTCGCGACGTCAGCATACACAAATTGAATTCGAATCGTAGCTGGAAACTGTCAAATAATTTATTGCTAATTAATTGCCATAATTTGAAATTATATTCTTATGCATATTAATGTGAATAAGGGGCAATATTGATAAAATATATTTACCAAATAAGAAAACGACTGTACACGCCAGAACTGATACTCAGCGTGCCCTGGAGCCCAGCGCAATTCTCAGCAGGGAATAAGTTACAGAAAGGGTGATTTTAAAGGGTGAGCGAGTAGCCATTCTAAGTACAATACAATGCTTAGCCACTGATTCATAATAGAGCCGCCAGTGTAAAGAAAAATGTGGCCATGTTTTAAACAAACAAGACATTTTTTCAATTATCTAAGGGTTGTGAAACCTGAGCACGAGCCGCCACTGGAGGATAAAGGTAAGGGGAATGGCGCCAGGTGTAAAGACTGCTTTGGCCATTGGAAGAAGACGTCATGCCCTGGAGTCCGAACTCAGTGGTAGCATTGCCATTATCTCTGCAGCTGTGTTGAGCGGGAGGTCCTAGGTTTCCAGTTCCTACTGTGGCGGATTTTCAACGCTACATAGTTACAAGGCGAATATGGCTTTAAACTGTTTTAAATATATTTTCATATGTTAAAAATTTCAACTAGGCAAGTTCTAAATAAAAATAATTCAATTTTGGGGTGGATAGTGGCCGTAACCCGAAAGAACATGTCAGAGTCACATAACTCTAAACTATGACACCCCCCCCCCGTATTCCAAAGCTACTCAGCCTAATACTACCTCAACCCCCCTCCCCCCTCTGTTACATAATTTATGAACGGCTCCTTGCCTTTCATAAGTGAATTAAGTTCAATTGGACTACTCAAATTACAAAAATCATTGTTTTTTATGAATTTCTTCTTCTTTTCTTCTGCTTCATGGAGTTAGGCCTTAAGGCCTGTTTCCACATCATGAGTGGGTCTTTCCATCTTGTTAGTAGGCGGCCAACATTTCTTCTTCCTTTAGGATTGTACTGATATATTGTTATGGGGATTCTGTTTGGAGGCATGCGTTGAATATGGTCATGCCAGTTTCTCCTTAATGATTGGATTCTGTCCATCAGATTAAATATATTCAGTTCGGTTCTGATATCATTATATTGTCTATCTAAAATATTGTAACCTGCTACTGAACATAGGAATTTCATTTCAGCGCTTCCTATTTTCCTTCTGTCAGCTCTATTTATAGTCCAGTTTTCGCATGCATAACTTAGCATAGGTACTGCCATTACTTTGTAAAACTTGAGTTGCATGGTTTTTAAAGTCTTATTTTTTTAATGTTCTTCTTATTGTCCCACACATAGTATAGAATCTATTTAATTTCTGGCTTACGTCATTTTTCTGACAGTAAGACACATTGAAACCTAGGTAGGTAAATTATTTGTCTGTTCTATCGGTTCATTATTAATTATAATTTTACATCTAATGTTGTTTGTTCCTTCAAAGTCTTGATTTTGTTTTCCTAGTGGAGATTTTCATATTATATTCAAATGCCTGTTCGTTTAGCTTGTGTGCTGCAATTTGTAGTTTGTCTTCTGAGCTACTAAAAATTACTTGGTCGTCTGCAAACAATATAGTGTTTAGAGATTTGTCATTTATTAAAATGTATTTTCAAACTTGCCCCTTGCCATTGCTGGACAATCTCGTCTATTTTATATAATTAACTGAATAGCTGCTGGTGAAAGTGGACACCCTTGTTTGACTCCTTTGATTTATTCCCAATAAAATTTAATTTACTTCTATTTGAGATCCCTTTATCAATGCATATTTTAGTGTCCGAAGTAAGAGACTTCGTTGGTTACTCCTATTAGATGCGGCTCGGTGAATCCTTATTTATATGCGAT